TAGCTCCAAAATTGTTTTATAATTTGGGATAGAGGTAGTAGCTAAAAAAATAATAACTATATTTTAGATCAAATAAGACTTTTAAAAAAAATACCTTATATTATGAATAGGAGAGGGTATATTTTTGAATTTTCAGTTAAAAGGGAAAGGGAAAAAAAAAGAGTCCAGCTTCATGTGAAATGACACCATTTTAGGGGTGAAGCAGGCAACGGATAGAGGAGCTTGGAGTTAGCGTCCAACAGGACAAAGGATCCTTAGAAACTGATTACGCTTAAATAAATCACAGAGAGAAAAGGCAACTTAATGTCATCATAGAATCATAGATAATGAATCATTTAAGCAGAAGTTAAGAGAAGTTTCCAATCCTTAGTTCAGACCAGAAGAAGAAGAGTCACTGTTTTCTAGTTTATATAAATTAAAGAGATGAAGATCGTCCAGTCATAATGAATGAATAATGACATGCAACAGAAAAGGGTAACTGCGTTATTTCTTTGCTTTCTGGCTTTAACATGATTAAGATAATGACCTTCCCATGAGACAATGGTCAGTGGAGAGTTGCCGACAAGCCGCACCGGAACCCTCAAAATGTGCTTCTCCCATGCTTCTCCTATACTACGTTTTTTTGGGCCAAACTTTACCTGTTACTTGTACAATCTGTGTGTATGGTAGAAACCAATATTTTACATTCATAGCATGGATTGTTTTTATTATTTATAAATATTATTTTATTAAAAGTAAACATATTCGAAATACAGTCAAACTTTCTCTTGAAAAGAATTTAAACTTGAATACGTCACATTGTAACGACACCCAATTCCATTAGTGTTCATGGAATTGAATTTGATTATATTTTACTTATTTGGCTGCAAGTGTTTTTATTTTCTATTTTTTGGCTAACGGTTGCAGTAGTGTTTTGTTGGAGAGGATCCTCTGATCCGACATCTCCCACATCTTCTCGGCCTTGGCTTTGTTTAGGATCTCGGTGGTTTGTGTTTATATTTGTTCTTCAGTTTCATACAAACTATAAAGGTGTTATTCTTTCCGTAAAAGAGAAAAATAAAATAGAAGCATCAGAATTCAGAAATCGCACATTATTTTATTAATTAATTAAATAATATTCGATAATTCCAAAATTATAGGACTTTAGATGAAGTTTTTATATCATAAAACTAAATAAAATATCCTGCGGCAGCACCAGCCGATGCCCATGACAAAAGTACAAAACTGTAAGTCTGACATCTTTTATTATTAAATATTAATTCAAAAACATGCACTAGACACTCATTATCGTAATTTTCAAAGGTCTCTTATTATTCACGTAAAACACCCCTTAATCCTATTAATAATTAAGAAAAAATACAGAAGTGGTAATCTTTTCGTTATTATTTTTAATCAACGCCAGGAGACACCATGAATCGAGATCACGGTCTTCCTCGGTAAACTTTCTTGCAAACAGAGCTAGGTTTCTGGGCAGGCGTGCACAGCTGTGAACTTGCCGGGCAGCTCTGCAGACAATTATCACCGAAGCTGCCGGAAAGTGATGCCCCACCGTTACCGGAGAAGAAGCCAGCCGGCGGCTTCCCCATCAGGAAGTTCCCGTCCAGGAACAGCCTTCTCATGGACTTGCTCTGGCTGTACTCCAATGGGATCGTGCCACGTAGCGAGTTGTACCGGAGTGACAAAAACGACAGCACAGGATACGCGGCGAAATTGGCGGGCGCGAAACCTTGGATCTTGTTAAATCCCAAATTAACCGCCACGAGGTCGCTGTTACCTCCGACGGGTCTCGAGATCTCGACGCCGGTAAAGCTATTGTTCGCCATATCAACTTGCTGAAGCGAAGGTAATTGAAAGAACCAAGCCTCAATTTTGCCGGCGAGCATGTTCTCGCTGAGCTCAACCACCTCCAATTGGTGTAGCTTCTCGAACGTAAATTTACTGAGAGACCCGGATAACAAATTCCCCTTCAGCGCGAGTTCGATCAGGGTCGGTGGAAGCAACTTCGGGAGAGGCCCGGTTAGCTTGTTGAAACTCACGTCGATTCTTCTCAAGCCAGCAAGCGAAATCATGGAACTCGGGAGAGACCCGGACAGGGAGTTGTGTGAGAGGTCGAGACTCTGGAGCGATTGAAGGTTAATTATGGAAGGAGGGATAGAGCCAGAGAAGGAATTGGATCGGAGAGTTAAGGATTGGAGGTTGGAGAGGGAGGAGAGAGAGGGTGGGATTTGGCCGGAGAAGGAGTTGTCGGAGAGGTCCAAGGTGATGAGCCGGGTGAGCTGGGAGACAAGTGAGGTGAGCGAACCGGAGTAGCCGGCCGGGTCGAGGGTAATTTGAGTGACGCGAGTGGAGTCAGGGGAGCAAGACAGGCCACAGACGAAGGAGCTACGGCGAGGGAGAGAGCAAGGATCATCGGTGAAGTTCCAGGAAGCTAAGCAGGAAGAAGGAGGGATAGAAGACGGAGTAATAGAGGCTTTGAAGGCTTTGAGGGCTTGGAGGTCTGAAGATAGAGTGCGTGCTTGAAACAGAGAAAGGTGTGCAAGGAGAATCAGAAAAAGGAAGAGGTGTTGCAGAAATGAAGAACATGTTCCCATTCCCAGATCTCACGAGGATTTCAGGAAAACAGAATGGTGTGAGAGGAAGAAACGGAAAGAAAAGGAGGAGGGAAGTGGGAGTTCTAAAGCAGAGAAGAAAGAGTGTAATGAATGAAAGAAGGAAAGAAAGAAAGGATTTTTTGGAGACAGTGGGTTGACCAAATGGTTGCAGAAGATAGGTTGGTTTTGGCTGGGCTAGCGATGCAGCACTAGAAGCTGCAGAAAATTAACGTACGAGCACAAAACTGTAGATTTCTTGTGGCAGCAGGATGGACGAGCTTGATTGGGTTTATTGTTCCTGAACTTGGATGGAGAGGCTTAGTATTTAAATCACTGAAAAAATTAGTCACTTTGATAAAAAATATAAAATATTTTTAATTAAAATTTATATTTTAATAAAATAATTATTTATTTTTAAATTAATCTTATCTTTTTATATTTAACTCCATTAAATATTCTATAATAAATATAAAATTATTTAATATTTTTAAAAAAAGATAATGATTATATCTTAAAAGATTAAAAATATTTTATATTTTTTAATATTCAACTCTTCAAAAAATATGTTATATTTTTGAATTGAGGGAGTACAATTTTGTTTCTAGAATTACCCTTCTTTTTTGAATTTTTGATTTTTTTTCCATCATATCTTTATTCATTAGTTTTCAGTCAATAATGTTGTGAATCTTTTGCTTGTAACCCAATTTACTCCAATAAAGTCATTTGAGGAACTTAAAACTGAGCCAACAAAAGAGGATTGGTGCTCCCAATTTCGTTTACGGGAAATTATTTTGCAAGTTCTGATTGTTTTACATAATTTTCTATTACGTTTTTATTGTTTATTTTGTTTTAATCAGTTTAATCAATTAAATATGTCAATCCCTGATTATTAAATTTTTTTTAATTTTCTCTTTTAAAAAATGAAGTTAATGACTTCTTTATATTTATTAAATTATTATATAATTTTACAATTAATTTCAGAATTTTTATAATTCAAAATTCATATAATTAGGTTATGTGTTTTAAATAATTTTTATAGATAAAATTTTCATTAGACCATAATAAAAATGTAAGCATTGTATTATATCAATTTTTTTAAAAAGTCAATATTCATTAATAATTTTAATTTTTAGAGAGTAATACATTTAATTAACCAAATTATAAAGACTTGATGAAAACAAAATAAATTATAGGGACCTAATTTATAATTGAAAAAAAAAATTAGATAGACATATGGATCAATTCTCCCAATTTAAACTCTATTGTGGATATGGATATTTTGTTAATAAGAGTACACGCAATTACTGTAGCTTGTAGTGTTTTAGGAATGCATTTTGAATTGTGAATATACTTATTTTGATTTTAACAACTCTTTGAATATAATCTATCTTTTTTCTTAAAAATGTTATTATAAATTTGGTTTGTTAAAGCTGTAGTTAGTTAATGATTAAGTTGGTAACAATATCCTGTAATTTTCAAAAAGTTGGTACTCTAACTAACTTGATTCCCAATCCCAATTCCTGCTAATTTAATTCATGTAAATAATAACACTTGCTAATCCAACCACTAGAATCTAAAGTAGGTAAATGAATGACTACCTCACGCTCTGTATTTTATACATGTAAATGTTGTATATGCATCCTCTTTGGGAAGCAAGAATTATATAATTCAAATTCACGAGTTTTCAAATTGAATCCGAATCGTTTTTAATAAGAGAACACAATTTAAAAAAGGGGATAAAAATATATATATGGAATCTTATTTGCGTGAATCAATGTCTCCTATCTCTAATTTTCTTCATCATTTCCTTCAATCACTGAAGATTTAGTTTATTTAAAATTAGTCCATTAAAACACCCACTTAAGGAAGACAAAAATGGAAAAAATCATGATTGAATGCCTTGGTTAATTAAGAAGAAATTATTAGGATTAATATCAGAACCGACAGAGATAAAATCTTACCATATCACAAGCACAAGCACATGCTCTTGTCCTTTTACCCAAATATGTCTCTGATTATTTGTGAAATTAGGCACACAATGTGTCATTAAGGATCCCATCAAAAAAAGAAGGGGGAAAAAAAGGAATATATATATATATATATATAAATTGAAGCTGTGCTGTTGTCCTTGACAACAACTTCAGTCTAATCCTTCATAATATCTTGTTCATATATCAGCCATCCATCCTCTCCCAACTATATTCTGTGGTGTAGGGTCTCTGTTTTTTCATTTTTTTTTTAAAGCCAATAGATGGATTGTACAAGTTATTAAAAATGCCTCAAAAAAAAAAAGTATGGTTAAGAGCCACCAAGAGCTGTCAGATGCAAGTTTGATGGATTTTGCATTTAATCCCTTTTTCGCCTCTTCGGCTGAAAGGGATTGGCTTTTTGTTCACAAAAAGATTAGAAAGCATGACGAGTTCCAAGTAGTCACACCCTTTCATAATTACATGATTTTAAAGAAAAATTATAATTCACGCTAGAAGTGAAATCCATATATTTAAGGCTTGTCGTATAAAGGGAAAAAACATAACAGAACATTTGTGATAATTAGTGTGGGGTCATGGCCCACAGCAGAATTGTACATTGTTGAAGAGCCAATGAAGACCTTGATAGAGGCCTTGCCCAGAGATTCCTGAAGCACTCTGAATGTACCTGCACCGTCCAACCATTCAATTTTGCTGGTACTAACTAAATTGAGATAAAAGAGTGAAAATAATGTTTTGATCAAATAGTTGGCAATTGGAAGGGAGATAATAGGTGGCTAAGTAAGCCTAAGCCATACCAAGTACGATGTCGAAGACAGTGCAGGCCGAGTTTATCAGCGACCTCATTAACAGTCATGGCACCTTCAACGTCTTGCTTGCTGGCCAACACAAGAAGTATGGCAGTGCGTAGTTCAAACTTCAACACAGTACAATAATACACGAGTCAAATCCAACGACACACACACACACACAAGACAGATTACACGGTATTCTTAATCTTAACCTTGGCAAGCAGACTCACATCACTTAGAATATTATGCAGTTCACAGCGAGCTTCCGAGATTCTTCGTTTGTCATGGCTGTCCACCACAAAGACCAGTCCATGTGTATTGTGCAAGTAATGTCTCCATAAAGGTCGAATCTGTTAACGTAACTAAGTCATCGATCATCATCTTAAATAAATCGAAATTAACCTACAAGGCATTATTCCTGTGTACATTTAGTTTGTTCCTCTGTCAATATTCATGTCATACGATTCACGAGACCTGACCTAATCAAAGTGGTCAACTTTAAAATTATATTCTAGTACCTTGTTCTGTCCTCCAACATCCCAGAAAGTAATGCGAAAGTTTTTGTACTCCACACACTCTACGTTAAAACCTGGTCCATATATCAGCAAAGGACTATCATTTCTGATGAATGCTATACAAGTGGCATTGCATGTAAATGTTGAGAAAACTTGTATTCCTTTTTGCGGAATTTATTGACTTGGCTTGGCTTAGTCACCTCACTATTAAAAAAATTAAAATTAATAAAGGATATTTAACGATGAATCTTTAATCCATCATTAATTATAAGTATTAGTAATGGAAATTTTGTGACGGACTGAAATCTATCACTAATTACATAAATTAGTAATGGAAATAGGATATCATCACATTTTAATCAAATTTTATAAATTTAATGATCGATTTAAATTCATTACTACTTTCTGCCACTAAATTTTTATATTAGTAAAAAAATTAGAAAAATGAGGTCAAATATTTTATAAAAATAAATAATTTATAATATATATAGAGAGGTTCACATAAAAAATCTTTAAACTTATCAAATTAAATAATTACACAAAATTTTTTTCTTATTATAAGTAAAATATATAATATAAAATGATATAAAAATAAGAAATATTTTTCTTTTATTATGTAAATTTAAATATAAAATAAAATTTTTACCATGTGAAATTTTTTTAATTATAACATAGATAATATAAAACGATACATACAAATATTTATTTTCATAATATATATTATTTAGTATTAAATAATATATTTATTAACTAATAATAAATATTGAATTATATATTTATGTGTTAATGTGTATATGATAATATATATTATCAATATATTTAAATAATAATATATTAAATGTATAAAAAATAAATTTAAGTTAAATATATGTGTTAAATTAAGTAATATATATTAAATTTATTATATTAAGAATGAAAGGTCATTCCAACTCAACCAGTGACAAAACTTTATTAATTAGTGATAAATATTTTCTATTATTAAATTAGTAACAGATTTTTTTTGATAACTAAATTAGTGACATCATATTCGTAATGAAAATTAGTGACGGATCACCAGTCATTAAATATAAAATTAATGATAAAATTTGCTTAGTAACAGATTTGTCCGTTATTAATTTCAATCTTTATAAGACAAGGAGAACATACATACCGATGGTGGGTATGGATCTGAGGGTTTGCCCCAGCTTGAGCTTGTAGAGAATGGTGGTCTTGCCTGAAAAATCAAGACCCAGTATCAGAATCTTCAATTCACACTTGTACAGGAAGAACCTCTTTCCAAGTCGAGATATGATCGTACCCATGAGATGAAGAAAATTCTGAGGTGAAAGATTACTCCTTTATACATGAAGGAGAAGATGCGGAGAAGAGAAAGCGAGCATGGCTAGGAAGGAACAAGAAAGAACCAGAGGCACACGATTCCCAATGCAAGTTAGGAATAAAGTGCGAATTTATCTTCAACGTGCAATCTTCAAAACTGTTCGCATTAAGCAACGGAACATCATATTCTAAAGAAGGCTACGCTTTTGTAAGTTCAAATCTGGAGTACTTATCATTTATCAAACACGTCATGTCTAATTTGAAGTTCAACTTCAGAAAAGCCTGCAGGCGCTTGCAGTTTCCTTAATCCATACTCCTCCCAAAGTTGATCCTCCAAGAAAATATTATGCTTCAATTATTCGGGTATTTGTATTATCTCCAATTCAGCTTTTATAGATTCATCCGTTTGATTCAAATGTAAAAATACACTTTTTTTGAAGGAAAAAAAAAGGCAATGTTTGGTTGGAAGAAAGTGAAAAGGAGGGGAGGAGAGATTCTAACAAATTACTCTAGTTTTTAAAAATGATTACTTGGATTCCTTAGAATCTCTTCTCTCTTCCGTTCCCCTCCATCCAATCACTAGGATATAATTAGTTTTAATGTTAAGAGGGGGGGGGGGGCAGTGGGGAACAAAAACACTTCATTTCTATTTTGTTCAGCATTGTAATTTTAAAATACTTTATACAATTTTTTTCAAAAAGAAAATTTTTATATGCAACTTTTTTTCGGGCATTCTAATTGTAAAATACATAATACTGCATCGTCTGATTCAAAAAAGAAGAAGAAGAAGAAGAAGACAACCCCTTGAGCCTTGACATTTCATTAAACTGATACACCATGGAAAATTAAACAGTAAAAAGTTTAAAAAACAAAGGGGGGGAGATTATAAACTACAGCCTGGATTGGATGAAAAGAAGCAAATAAATACAGAAGCCTTGTTATGATTCGAAACTTCCAATCCCTTTCTTTGCCACAAAGCAATTAGACAACCAACAAGGGTAAAATTTCATCCTAAAAAACCCCGACTTACGGAATTTACATGCAATGGCTATGAGAACTCTAAACAAAAGTGACTAGTTCTTTGAGGCTGATTGGAAGATGAAAATTGCAGTCAGAACACCAACCAAGGCTGTCACTCCCAAGGCAACTGTAGGCAGCGGAGCGGTGAGCCCAAAGTTCTGCGTAATTAAAGATACAAGAATATAAGTATTCTTTTGGAACCATAGATTCAACTAGTAATCATTCGCTGCATCACTTGCATAGTTGAATTCACTTGAATGGGTGGGAGGGGCATAGGGGTAAGAAGGGACTCCACAAAGAAGTCATATGGTTAGTTCTACTTGACTTGGTCTTACCTTTAGTTTATATGCACCAGAAATAGCACGTGAAATAGTATACATATCACAAGGCACTTGAATTTGGTCGCCAAACTGTTCAAAAAAGTTAATACTAGTACGAAAGGGAGCCAATAGCCAGCGGCTTATGATTCATTTACTGGTGCAAATAACAAGTAGTCCCACAGCTAAGACGGAGGATGCCAATCAAGTTATTCATTCTTGAAGACCAAATATTCCATTGAGAGTGGTTGTTCAAGTTAAAAGATGAATTGGATAGCCACATCTTGCAGCTATCTTCACTTTTAAAATCATTGAAGGGATAACAAGATCATTACACAGGTCAATCTGCATATGTCTTCATATTTTTGTTGGGAAAAATTGTCTTCACTTTCTGGAAGCGATAATCAGGTTATAAAAGGTAGGCAGCTGCTAAGAATCCCTTTCATGGCGTAAACTAAAGTCATGCAAGGCTCATAAGATAGACATGGGCATGATGCATTGTTTTTTTCCCTGCTCATTTCTGCCGTGATTAAACATTACCTTAGCCATGCTATCAAATGAAAGTGACCGGCTAAGTGCAGTATAATAAGTCATACCTCAAGGAGTCCCTTCCCTGTAGCAATTTCAACAGTAATGGCCACTGCAAAGCCAACCATAGCTGCCCGGCCTAACCACACATCCAAACTGTTCCCTCCTTGGGTACTTTGTTCACACCTTATTGAAACAGGCATTGCTTTGCAAGCAGGCTGCCTTGCATAACTTCTTCGAATCACTAGAAGCAAAGCCAAATATCAGTGCCATTTAGCTCACTATCTAAATAGCTGGCATGTTATATTTACGTTGTTTAGCACCTTCTCACGCTCAACCAAAAAGGGAAAAGCGTATTTGAAAGTACATCTATGTTTCAGATGGCCAGCTAACTCACAATTTCATCTAAATATCTCCATCCATCACTTCTGACCAGCTAACTCACAGTTTCTTCTAAAAACTTGTTATCACAAGATTGAAAGCATTTTTCCCTAAAATGAAGATAAACGCTGTTGGAATTAATTTATAGTTGAATGCTAGAAGTATGCTGATTAGACTATAATACTAGCTGAAAATATGTTGTAAGTAGGGCTATAATTAGTAAGTTTGATGACTTCACTTTTACTATTTGCCTATGAATACAGGGTCTCAAGTGGATTGGAATGACCACTTTTCCAACAAAGGGTTTTCTCTATATTCCACTTATCAGACTTTACAAATTAGCGAAAGGAAGGAAGCTGTTTCCTAGGGGCTAGGGTAATCCTATGCGACAAAATCCATAAGCAATATTCTTCCAATTTGAAGGTCAGCACTACAGCACATTATGTAAAGTGTAAATTACCTCAAGATACTTCATTTCAATTTCAAACAATTGACGCATTTGATTGAATCAGAAAAAAATCTTCAAAAGAAATAATGGTAAACCCAAAGTTGTTCAGATGACAGACGGCATAGTTTTCCCAAATGCAAGGGGAGGGAAACAAATTAACAAGTAGCAAAGCAATAATTCTTACACAGAGGGGAACCAGAGGCAAAGGAAGTTCCTCTGGGAACGAAATTGGATCGGGGAAAACGACGAGAAGGAGAGGATTTGAGTGAGCTGAAAGCACAAACATCTGCTGAATAATTGATGAATTATAGTTAAATATGAATATTTGGGACCAGAATTAACGCCAAGGGAGAAATCGAAATGGGATACCGCGTATAGAGACGGAGAAAGAAGCAGAGACTTGAGCAAGGGCCATGGAGGCTGCTATTCTTGGGAGTGAACCGAAACTAAGCAGTGCTCAAACTTCTGCTTTTATCTTCTACTTTTGTGGGTATGGCGACTGAGTGGGCAATGCTAGCTACTTCTCGTTCCAAGATGACCATTCATATTTCAGACCATGGAGACAGACACGTGGCCTTGTAAGCCTAGTTGTGAATTTTGTTTAGTGAAGTACTTCCTGCTTATCCGAAGCTTTCTTTTTTTCTTTTTTTTTTTTTGGCCTGAATTACCCGAGGCCTTCTCTTTAGACATTTTATATAGAATGTTAATGATTATTTTTTTAATATTATCTTTATTTAAATTTATTAATTAAGAAAAAAATATAGGATGAAGGTTAATTTTATCCTGAAATATGTACGAAATATCACAAATAACTTTAACTCAAGTAAGTATCTTTTTTATCTTTTAACAATAGAAATTTATTCATCGGTACCCTGACATTAAATTGTTCTGTTATTTTGTCATGAAGGTCCTACATTTGATTTTTTTAATATATTATTATTACAAAACATTATATTATGGGTCCCACCATGTTTTATATTTTTTATAATATAAAAAAATACTCTCCATCTTTGTCTCTCTTCCCTTGATCCCCACTCTCCTTTGTCTCCTTCATTTCATCAAAGAGAATGCTCACCAACATCCTCGACATAGTGCCATACTTATTGTCCTCAAAACTTTCTTGCTCCGGTTCTAAAGCAAGCAACTTAGGTGGAAGGTGATGAGTTTCAGTTGACTTTAACATGGGACTCCTAATCCTGGTGACATTGACAACATACATTGACAAGATACTGGACACATATGTTATGGTTTTATTGTGCAAGATAATGGCGAGAGTCCCTGACTTTGCTTGTGCTCATGAACACTAAAGTAATGTTGTCAAAATTGGACCGGACCGGACGGTCCGACCGCCAATCGTTGAAGAAAACGATCCGATTTAACCAATCTGGCATTTGACTCTGGTTGAACCGGCCGGTTTTGAAAGAACTGACTTTGACCCGGGAACTGGACCTGGGTCAAACCGGTTCAAAGCCAAAAAAATTAAAAAAAAAATTAGGCTAAGTTGTTTAGATTCACAATTTCTCTTCTCTAATCACTAATGCTCTCTTTTCTTCTTTTCTCTAATATCTAATCTCCCCTTTATAGCTCAAACTCAATTTTTAACTTCTCCTCCAATATCTACCTCCAGCTCTAAAGATCTAACCTTTAGCATTGAGATTGAAAGCTTGTGAGTCATGACATAACAGTATGCCTCCAGCTCTAACATTTTCCTTTAAGATCACAAGCTTGTACTGACTAGGTCTAACTCCAATGATCCAAGTATCTAGTTTTTGGGATTGAGATCCCAAGCACTATTAATAAATTAATGTTTTATTTATATAATTGCACATATAAATTTTATTTTTTATTTAATTTTTATGTCACCGATTAGACCGCCGGTCTAACCGATTAAACCGTGAAAATCGCGACCCGTTGCTTTTTCCGATTCGATGTCCGGTCCGAGTTTCAAAACATTGCACTAAAGGATATGCTTTCTCCTCCTTCAGCCACACCTCCTTCAGCTCCTCTCCCCTTCTTCCTTTTTCTTCGTTTATGGCCCCTATAGACATGCCCTTTCCAAAACTTTCATGGCAGTTTCATTCTCTCTACCCATGTCCCATTCCCTTTGATTGAGCTTATCTCCTTCAAATTCTTCTTCTTTATCATCTTCTAACTTCTCTCTCATGCCTAGAAACCCATGAGTCAAGCCTCCTTATACAAGGACACCTCATGTATTGAAGACCTACTTGCTTGAGGCACAATTGACAAACACACGCTTGGGTTTAGCTTGGTCGAGGATGACAGTGAGAGCATAAGTGTAACATCTTAAAAAATTTTAAGACTCAAATTTATTTTAAAAAAATAAACAAAAATAAAATAAAATATCTATAATTAAATTAAAATTTAGAATAATTTAATAGAGGCCCAGAGTTCGAATTTTACTAAGCAAAAGTTTGGTTTTATTTGATTTTTAACTATGGGAAAAATTACCAAAGTTGACCCGGGCTTTTGTGCAATAATAAAAAATGTTGGGCCCTTTCTTGTATTTTTCCCCAAAGTTTTTAACCAGCATTTTAAGGAGCAAACTGATGCAAAAACGTAGAGAAAATGAGAAAGAAAGCAAACGCACAAACGGGAGAGAGAGAGAGAGAGGAAGAAGAGAAGAGAAAGGGAGGGAGTTAGGCTTGGATCTAGGAGTCTTTGCGACCGTTGCGAGCTCGGCTACACGATAGGTAAACTCCCTACTTCAATCCTCTTCTCTTTCTCTTGATTTTCTTCAATTTTTGGAAGAGGAAATTTTTGGATTTTGATCCCAAAGGCTTTATTCTTGTAAGCTTTTGTTTCTTTGGATTCTAGGGAGCATGTTTTGAGTTTCTATATAGTGATCTAATGTTTTGAGTGAATAATTGGATGAAAAGAGGTGTTTTGGGCACAAAATAAACCTTGAGAAATTGGGTTTTTGCTCCTCAATGGTTTAAGCCTATTGATTTAGTTATAATTTTGCTATTTGAGCCCAATAAGATTTAAATTAAGGTTTGGTTTTCATTATAAGGGCTAATGGTGAAAGTTGGTGGCACTAAGTAAAGGTTTTTAATTGATTAAAAAAATTATATAAATTGAAAATTAGCCTAGTGATGGCTAATAAATGGTTTTGGTGGTTAAGTGATACTATGTGAATGGTTGGTTTAATATATGGACCATTAGGGTGGATTATGACTCATTGACCTAAGTTGTATGGTATAAGTTATAGTCTTCATTAATACTATTTGTCATGATAAGTGATGTGGATCACTTATATGTTGTAGAAAATTGTTGGTGGAACTTATTGAGAAGTAAGGAACAAGCCGAGCCCTATTTTGTACAAGGGGAACCCTTTTAGTACCAAAGGGTTGAGGTAACAGGGAAATTTATATTTCTTATTACTTTGTTTTAGCTATTCTTGAATAAATATTACTAGTTATCATGCATTACATGTTTTAAAAGATTAAATGTGCTTTATAAGGGGTTATGGGGTACTACTTTGATTATAGTGCAAATATGTTTTCTAATTGTTTAATAACAATGTTTTTATGGAAATGAGATTTATAAATATTATACTACTTTAGAGTGTTGAATGGTCAATACTCAGGAAAGGTAGACAAGAGTAAAAGGCATGATCTCGGTGGGAGTTCACCAATGAGAAGGTGTGGATTTTTGATATTCTATGGCACACTGTCAGTACTCAGTGTTGTCTTACGTATTGTGGGCTCAGTGCACTAAAGTGGTTAGTGTATTGAGTGTTCGACACCTCTCAGTGGGGGAGGGAATCCGACATATGAAGTGTGAGGTTGAGTGCCTAGGCCAAGGTAGCCCTCACATGGAGAGTAAGTCGGGCTGGCACTGGGAGGGAGTTAGCTTTGACTGCTCAGGATTTACGTCGAAGGGGCATAAGCGGTTTGGTGGATTAGATCATGCCTTAGATTATGTTTTGTGCCTGTGGAGGTACAAGTAGGTATAAGGTTTACCTGCGAGTTAAAGAGTGTCAGGGGGCATTCTGTTGGTCATGAAAGGCCATACCGGCCTAGGTCATGCATTCATGCATTTTAAATGGCTAAATTATATACTATGTTGAATTTATTATTCATTTATTTAATTATGGCTTACTTTGTAATAATCAATATAGATTTCACTGTTACTGAGACTGTGGTTGTCTCACCCCTTTCTTTTTAATATTCTAGGTCCAGGCGAAGGATCCAGTGGTGGACGAGGAAAAGAGAAAAGCTAGGGGTTTGCTTGTGATTTGTAAAGAACTGCAACCCCTTTCTTTTGAGCAAATATATTGTAATGTATTTAAGATTAGGGTACCAGTAGGATATGATTATGTGTGTGTGTGTGAATATGTGTGGATTGTGTGCTTGTGTATGAATTTTTGTCTGTTTGCAGACTTGTGGCTAGGAAACTTGGTTATGGTGTGTGGTTTTGATGGATTTACTTAGTAGACCAAGTTTCTATTACAAGCAGATCTTTATTTTGATATATATGTGATTTTATAAGCAAATGCAAAGTGGTTGCATTGCAAATGGTGTGCTATGGGAAAACATACAGCTTGGATAGAGAAAGTGGGTGCGTGGGCCCCACAAGGAGCTCTGAGCCAAGTGAAAATGTTTAGCATATGTATTTATATAAATACATGGTATTTGGATTGATTTGTGACCACTCTTGTATGATTTGTGCATTTTGGGGGTTTAGGGTCCATTTTAGGAAATGGCACCCGGGTGGTCAAATTTTGATGTATGGGGGTTTTCCATCATTTGAATGTTCTATCAAGTGTTTTTAATCTTATTTGACGTGTCCAAAGTGTTTCCACAGGTTTGTGACCATTAGGATGGGATTTGGACAATTTTGAAAATGGTTTTTACCAAAAAGCTGCACTTTTGCATCCGGGTGTCCAAATCTTAATCCGACCGTTGGATTTCTCTAAAATTTGGGTCACAAGTAAAACCTTTTATAAGCTTCGTGTGGGCTTTGGAATCACGTAGATCGGATATCGGACAGAGAAACGACGCATTCCGGAATTTGGTCTGGAGGTGCTGTCATGACAGCATTAAATTGCTGTCATGACAGCTACAGTGTTGATTTTGTAACCTGCACAAAATTCAATCCGTCTGTTGGATCTTTTTAAAATTTAGTATGCTAATAGTATTCTTTAAAAGTGACATGTGGGCTTTGGAATCACTCCGATCGGAGGTCAGATGATGAAATGGTGCACTCCGGAAGTTGGTCCGGAAGTGCTGTCATAACAGCTTTCTAGCTGTCATGACAGCAAAAATAGTCAATCTTTTAACATGTCTAATTTTTAATCCGACCGTTGGATCTTTTTAAAATTTGGTACACTTATAGTACCCTTTGAATGTGACGTGTGAGCTTTAAAATCACTTCAATGGAGGTCGAATGACGGAACACCGCCTCCTGGAAGTTGGCCCAGGAGGGCTGTCATGACAACAATAAATTACTGTCATGACAGCATCTTTTTATTCTATTTTCGTCTAACTTGCTTCCGTGCGCTATA